AAAGAATCTCAAGTAGGTAAAAATTCTGCTCTTGGATCTTCATCATGGCGGTTTCTTGGCTACGGTGTTCTCCCTCCATGTGAGATTCTCATTAATATCACTAAAAAGAACGAGGAGTACTTGTGGCACCTTGGAGACTAACACATTTATTTGAGTATAAGCTTTTGAGTATAAGTTTTCCACTTCATCAGATGCATGCAGTGGAAAATACAGTAGGAAGATATATATACACAGAGGACATGAAAAAATGGGTGTTGCCATACCAACTATAACGAGAGTAATCAATTAAGGTGGGCTATTATCAGCAGGAGAAAAAAAACTTTTGTAGTGATAATCAGGATGGCCCATTTCCAACAGTTGACAAGAAGGTGTGAGTAACAGTAGGGAAAAAAAATTAGCATGGGGAAATAAGTTTTACTTTGTGTAATGACCCATCCACTCCCAGTCTTTATTCAAGCCTAATTTAATGGTGTCCAGTTTGCAAATTAATTCCAATTCTGCAGTTTCTCGTTGGAGTCTGTTTTTGAAGTTTTTTTGTTGGAGTATTGCAACTTTGAGGTCTGTAATTAAGTGACCAGGGAGGTTGAAGTGTCCTTCGACTGGTTTTTGAATGTTATAATTCTTGACGTCTGATTTGTGTCCATTTATTTTTTTGCATAGAGACTGTCCAGTTTGGCCAATGTACATGGCAGAGGGGCATTGCTGGCACATGATGGCATATATCACATTGGTAGATGTGCAGATGAACAAGCCTCTGATAGTGTGTCTGATGTAATTAGGTCCTATGATGGTGTCCCCTGAATAGATATGTGGACAGAGTTGGCAACAGGCTTTTTTGCAAGGATAGGTTCCTGGGTTAGTGTTTTTGTTGTGTGGTTGCTGGTGAGTGTTGTCAGTAGCTACCAGTGTGGTGCTCTGCTCTTGTTTGATGATAACAGTCGGCTGTATGCGTGTTCCTTCTGTGTGCTGCCCCGGCTCTGCGCAGATAGCTGACACAGCAAACCCCGAGAGAACCTCCAAAAACCACAGGTACGAAGGAACCCGAGCAAGGTTTATTGTCAAACGAAGCACAGTAATAGACTCTAGTAACAGACTCTGTTACTAGGCAGGACATACTACGAATACGTGCCCCCTGGCAATGGACACAGCTCAGTCAGTGGCGGGACACTCTACTGCCCCCTAGGCTGGACAAAGATGCGCACTCCGGGACCTACTTTTATACAGTTACAGGACAGATTACTCATCCCTACTGACGTATTGAAGTACAGCCCCTTGACTCATTGGGGGCTGTCTCCTTCTTTGATCATGTTGTTTCAAACAGATCTATCCATCATGCTGTCCTTTTGACTCTGTCTTTAAGATGCACCTGCTTCTAGCAGCCCTCTTCTTGCCAACTTCTGTGAGTGGGCCTGCCTCTGGCTTACAGCCCAGCTTTTTCTTAGCAATGCCTGGAAGTACTTTGGTTCAGGCTTCAGGCCTCAGACTGGGCCTTTGATACAAGAGTTTATGTTTCAGCGCCTCATCTTACTACAGTGAGTATTTGCTTCAGGTTGGGGGGCTGTCTGTAAGCGAGGACTGACCTGTCTCCCAAGATCTATGAGAGTGAGGGATTGTCCTTCAGGATACGTTGTAGATCCTTGATGATGCGCTGGAGAGGTTTTAGTTGGGGGCTGAAGGTGACCGCTAGTGGCGTTCTGTTACTTTCTTTGTTGGGCCTGTCCTGTAGTAGGTGATTTCTGGGTACTCTTCTGGCTCTGTCAATCTGTTTCTTCACTTCAGCAGGTGGATATTGTAGTTGTAAGAATGCTTGATAGAGAGCTTGTAGGTGTTTGTCTCTGTCTGAGGGGTTGGAGCAAATACAGTTGTATCTTAGAGCTTGACTGTAGACAGTGGATCGTGTGGTGTGGTCTGGATGAAAACTGGAGGCATGTAGGTAAGTATAGCGGTCAGTAGGTTTCTGGTATAGGATGGTGTTTATGTGACCATCGCTTATTAGCACTGTAGTGTCCAGGAAGTGAATCTTTTGTGTGGACAGGCTGAGGTTGATGGTGGGATGGAAATTGTTGAAATCATGGTGGAATTCCTCAAGGGCTTCTTTTCCATGGGTCCTCAATGTAGCGCAAGTAGAGTAGGGGCGTTAGGGGACGAGAGCTGAGGAAGCGTTGTTCTAAGTCAGCCATAAAAAAGTTGGCATACTGTGGGGCCATGCGGGTACCCATAGCAGTGAGTTTTGCGCACAGTTCAGAAAAGCACTAATGCACATGCTTGAATTCATCCCTATGTGGAAAATTACTTAAGCATTTATTTATGCCCCATAGAATTCAGTAGAACTTCAGCATGGGCTTAAGCAATTTGCTGACTTGGGGCCATAGAGAGAAGAGCATGTCAGAGTTCCACTATGTGGATTTGGGAGAAGAAGTCTGAAGTAAAGGTGGCATTTGGTTTGAACAAGAAAAGTATGTGTAATTCTGTGACCACTTATAAACACGCAGTTATTGTTGGCTGATCTCTTGTGCAGTTTTCCACATTAACAGTGAGGAACTACTCTAGTTTTGAAACAGAAAAGCCTGTGTTTATCAGAAGGCCAGATAGATAAAGTCCTTCCAAAACTAACATACGTTAAAAATTAAAGTTGTGTGATTACCTCAGGAAATGAAATAACAAAAAAATCTGAAGCAGGGTGAAAAACTGAGTTCAGTTTTGTGGAGAACTTCGATGAGTCACTTCCTTATCAGTATCTCTAGTCTTCCTGGCAACGTTTTATTTGTGACTCTTAATGCTGTATTAAATGAAAAATTACACTTGGGGTTGTGTGACGCAAGAAACATAATAAGCACTTCTCCTGTCAGATTTAACTGATCACACTTATGTCAACTTGAACTGGGGTTTCACAAACACTTTATTAGGAAGTCACAAAGGTTAATAAAGTTCTTAGTTCTTTAAGATGAGCTTTATATTTAGAATGTACACTGAGAATTTGCTCCATTGTTATTCATGGCCCCTCGTATTTCCTTTCTATGAATAGTAGTACAGATGAGTTTTTGTTCTTGGCAACAGAAAGTGTCACCGATGCTTGTGTGAATGTATCGTTGCCCAAGAATTTGCACCATAAGTGCTCAATTTGGGCATCTTCAGATCTCTTAGTGGGTCTATTGTTGTAAAATCATCCAGTTGGGGAATAAAAACAATGCCATGTGACACACACAACCAATTCACAAAGTGCAAACATCAAATCGTGAATATCAAATGTGCACATCTACTCGCATTGAAAAATTTGCAAGCAATCTATAGGTTGAAGAAAAGATTCATTGAACAATTGTGATGAGTGAACTTATTTGTAGAAATACAGCAAGTCAAACTGCCAGACTGGGAGCTGCACCTCTCCTCTAGAGGAGCTCTCAGAGGGATTGTGATTTAGGAGGCACAGTGCCTCCCTGACATGCAGAGGGAGCTGGATGCTGTACCATCCCTTTGGATTGTGCCACTTGTTCATCCCAGTGCACCAAGCCAGCTGTGCAGGACAGTGCAAAGGGGTATAGCCATAGGGGGAGTAGGACGAAGCGATTCAGAGTGCATGGACTGTGATTTGTCCCCTGCCCCAGTGCAGGGTGCACAAGGGGCTAGAGGGAGGAAACATTCCTTGCACCTTCCCTCCAGCCAGCTCAGTGTGCTTGCACACAGTTTGAGACCAGGGAGATAGAATGAATAAATCATTCATTGTTCACTCAGCTCTGGATGTGTGGGAGGAGGCTAATGTTTGGTCCCCAATAGCGAGGAACCCCCCTGACAAACTACCATGGACGCAGTTCTGCTCTCAGATCCGCTGTCCCACATTGCTCTCCACTTTTTCATGGTTGAGACCTCTGCCCATCTCAGGAGAGCAGCAACCAGTCAAGAGCTGCTTTGTAGCTATGGGAGCAGAATCTTATCCCAAGTAAATTGCTTTTCATGTGTGTATCTTGTTTTTTCAAGTTTGTTAGTGTGAGAAAGTCCACATGCGGAGTAACCACAGAGAGCTGTTTCTGTTCAGCCAAAATTGTTGGGTCCAGCGAGGCGAGCAACACAGCTCTGTTGTGTTCTGAATCTAACCACAGATCTCGTCTGAAGCCTGCCGCGCCAGGGCTGCACAACTCAGAAGTGGCTAAACCATATTCACAAACTCATGGCAGGGCTGACGAAGTGGTTTTACTACACGCTGAAGCCTGTTGTCCTGTCTGCCAGGACAGTTAGTTGTGAATGAAGACTTTAATACTACAAACTGCTTAGAATATTTTCACAGTTCAAAAATAGTACTTGCTGGGTGCCGTGTTTAAGAGGAATCTGTGTGTATTGAGGGTCACAGCAGCAGTTTGAGCCAAGTGAGAAAACGTGAACTACTGGTCTGTACTGGAAGGTGGGAAGCCTGGGCTGCTGCCGAGACTCTACAGAGCACTGGAACTGCGTTCTTCTGTTTGGTGAAATTCACCCATCCTCACATACTCTGAGTTATTTGGGGATTAAGTGGGAGGTGAGGGGTTGAAGTTCCACCTCCTCCCACCCTCACATACCTCATTAGGGCTGCAGTGCAGCCCTTCTTTGGCTTTTATTACAGCATAAGGCCATGAATCAGACCTCATTGAAGTCCGTGGGAGTCTTTCCATTGAATTCAGTGGGCATTGGATCCCTAGCTTGAAGTAGCAGCTGCTGCCCTTCTCCACCTCTTTTTGTGGGCCCCTCCTCTGTCCTGCCCCAAACTGCCCCCTCCAAGGCTTGCAGGGGGTGCAAAGACTCCCTAGTATAGCCTGCTTGCCTACCCCCTTCCCCTGCGGAGAAATGTACAGCGGAAGTACAGAGAAATCTCATTTGCAACTGGGGAAGCAAAACCACAGTAAATTGAGGTTGCTTTGCATGAAGCTTTGTATACAGCAATAATAATAATTAGCCTTTATACAGTGCTTTGCATCCATAGATCTCAAAACCTTTTACAAAGATATCAGTATCATTTATCCTCCATTTTACAGATGGGGGAAACTGAGGCACCAAGAGGGAAGTGACTTTCACAGGACCACCCAGCAAAGCAGTGGCAGAGCCAGGCATTGAACCTAGGTCTCCTGAGTCTCCGTCCAGTGCCCTGTCCAAGGAGCTCTTGGTATGGCCTAGGGCACAGACAGTGTTTGAAATGGTATAGCCCTTGTTTTGTTGTTGTCAGTCGCTTTCTTGCAATGTTGAGTATAGTTTGAGGGACAGAACGAAGTGCTCAGCACCCAGAATTCGGGCCAGATTTTCAAAAGAGTTCAGCTCCTACCAAAGCATCTACAATGAAGAGGCCAGATTTCCCCAAAGTACTCAGCATCCGGCAGCTCCCATACGGCCTGAGCACTGTTGCAAATCTGGCCTATTTAGATTGTCAGCTCTTTGGGGTAGGGACTGTTATTTCCACATGCTACACATACACAAGGCCCTGATCGCATCCTGGGCCTGTAGGCACTACTACTACACCACTAATAGCATTGGTAAATGGAAGCTGTGGGACACTGAGCACTTCTGAAAATCTGGCTCCTAAATCCCCATGATACTTATATTGACCCTGTAATTTATTAAAAAAAATACTAGGGCTGTCAATTAATCGCAGTTATCTCAAAAAAATTAATCGTGATTTAAAAAATTAATTGGGATTAATTGGAGTTTTAATCGCACTGTTGAACAATAGAATACCAATTGAAATTTATTAAATATCTACATTTTCAAATATATCGATTTCAATTACATCACCGAATACAAAGTGTACAGTGCTTACTTTATATTATTATTTTGATTACAAATATTTGCATTGTAAAAATGATAAACAAAAGAAATAGTATTTTTCAATTCACCTCATACAAGTACTGTAGTGCAATCTCTTTATCGTGAAAGTGTAATTTACCAATATAGATTTATTTATTTTTTGGTTAGGTAACTGCACTCAAAAACAAAACAATGTAAAACTTTAGAGCCTACAAGTTCACTAAGTCCTACTTCTTGTTCAGCCAATCGCTAAGACAAACAAGTTTGTTTACATTTATGGGAGATACTGCTGCCGGCTTCTTATATACAATGTTACCTGAAAGTGAGAACAGGCATTCACATGGCACTTTTGTAGCCAGCATTGCAAGGTATTTACATGCCAGATATGGTAAACATTCCTATGCCCCTTCATGCTTTGGCCACCATTCCAGAGGACATGCTTCCATGCTGATGACGCTCATTAAAAAAATAATGCGATAATTAAATTTGTGACTGAATTCCTTGGGGGAGAATAGTATGTCTCCGACTCTGTTTTACCCCCATTCTTCCAATATTTCATGTTATAGCAGTCTCGGATGATGACCCAGCACATGTTCATTTTAAGAACATTTTCACTGCAGATTTGACAAAATGCAAAGAAGGTAACAATGTGAGATTTCTAAAGATAGCTACAGCAGTGGTTCTCAACCAGAGGTCCAGGGCCCCCTGGAGGGTCGCGAGCAGGTTTCAGGGGGTCCGTGAAGCATGGCTGGTGTTAGACTTGCTAGGGCCCAGGGCAGAAAGCCAAAGCCCCACTGTGCAGGACTGCAGCCCAGGGCCCGAAGCCCCACTACCTGGGGCTAAAGCCAAAGCCTGAGCAACTTAGCTTCACGATGCCCCCTGTGGAATGGGGCCCCGGGCAATTGCCCTGCTTGCTATCCCCTAATGCCTGCCTTGCCTTTTATATGCAGAAAAACAGTTGTTGTGGCATAGCTGGGCCGTGGAGTTTCTATAGCATGTTTGGGGGGGCCTCAGAAAGAAAAAGGTTGAGAACCCCTGAGCTACAGCACTTGACCCAAGGTTTAAGAATCTGAAGTGCCTTCCAAAATCTGAGAGGGACGAGGTGTGGAGCATGCTTTCAGAAGTCTTAAAAGAGCAACACTCCGATGCAGAAACTACAGAACCCAAACCACCAAAAAAGAAAATCAACCTTCTGAGAGGTAAAACAGAGAGGACTGTTTTACCTACTCTGAGTAGCTGAGTCCAGCCACTAGTTGTACACAGTTATATCAGTGAGAGTTGCATATTAATACTAGGACTCGAGACATATCCAGTTCATGCTGAATAATATACGAGTCAGATTTACTCGTAGAGCGGAAGCCAAGAGAACCCATAGTCCAAACCCCAGTGACAAAAGGTTCATCATCAGTGCAAGCTACTCACAACTCTTGCTCTGCTAGGGGGCCCAGAGCTGGCTGGCACAGTCCCTACAGTGGATGGGCCTTCCCTGGTAAAGGGCAAGGGGATGACTGATTCATCTTGGGTAGCCTCTGTCAGGATGTTATTGGAGTAGTGCAGGAATTTAAAGCTGTTCTTCCCTGCAAGAATCCCAGGGAAGAGGTAGGGGCAATGGTTGTATCATCCCCAGTCCCCCCTTTACTGGTTCTAGGATATTATCTTGTTGTTGGTGTGGGGGGGATGGGAGAGGTGGGAGAACAGGACATAACTCATCACATTTTAGTGACTGCATATGAAGTAGTGTTGCATTTTCATTGGAGACTGCTCTTTTCCTTAGATGAAAGGCATTGTACAAGTGCTGTGGAAGAGAATGAATGGATCAGGTAGTCCAAAAGGAAAAAGCATAGTCTAGAATGAAGGAGTGGTTGAAAGCACTGACACCTCAGTTTAAACCAACTAAATCTACACTCTAATCACTGCCCTGGAGTCTTCCTAGGCACATTTGGATGGCTGTTGGAGGCAAACAGAAATCCATGATCATATACCTTGGGAGTGGATACAAAACCAAAGTAAAAATGAGGCTCAATATGGTACAATGTGATTTAAATATGCAGAAATAAGAGAAGATCCCACTCTCTGCTTCAGTTTCCTACAACTGAGGTCTTGCATGCTGCTCTGAACAGGAGATTTCTGTGTAGCCTTTCCGGGGCTGGGATGAATGGAGATGTGAAACTCTCTAAAAGTCAGGATGAGAAACAGAATAGGAGGGATCTTCAGAAGAGCCTATGTGACTTGGGAGCACAAGTCCTGCTGACTTTCATGGGTACTTACGCTCCTAAGTCACTTAGGCTCAGCTCTTCAAATCTGTTTAGGCACCTAACTCCCATAGATTTCAATGACAGGCATCTAAAAGACCTTTGAGGATCTGGCATTAGATAGTTTTCAGACTCTTACCCAGTGTTACCTAATGAAAGAACTGTTCCAAAAATCTTGTAGTATTCTTATGGTTCCCTGTTCCTATTACTTGCTCAGAAAGCATAATAGAATTCAGAGTAGCAGCCGTGTTAGTCTGTATCCGCAAAAAGAACAGGAGTACTTGTGGCACCTTAGAGACTAACAAATTTATTAGAGCATAAGCTTTCGTGGGCTACAACCCACTTCTTCGGATGCATATAGAGTGAAACATATATTGAGGATATGTCAAAGACAACTCCCACCTGTTCATGCTCTCTGTATGTGTGTATATATATCTCCTCAATATATGTTTCACTCTATATGCATCTGAAGAAGTGGGTTGTAGCCCACGAAAGCTTATGCTCTAATAAATTTCTTAGTCTCTAAGGTGCCACAAGTACTCCTGTTCTTTTTGCATAATAGAATTGTATACTTTCTTAATGACTGACGAATAAAATATTGGGGTTTTTAAAGTAATAACAGAGGGATCATTTGTACTCATTTTTCAACCCATATAGAGAGTGACAGAGTTTCTACCAATGATGCTGTGCCTAAATTGACTCTAATAATGTTTCTGAAAACATTTAGTGTGGTAACTAAACGTTAGGTGTGTCCCTTCTTTAACAAATGCTTGATTAATTTTTCTATAATAAAATATTTTATAAGCATATAAAGATTGAACTTCACCATATTTTATAGATGTATTTTTGAAAAAGGACAGGCAGTGAGAGATTACCACATTTTTTATGATACCATAAATGGTCAATTTTTAATGTTTACAATATCATTAGAACCCCCTCAGTTTAATTTAAATTTTATTTCTAGTCTCTTGCCTTCCCTTCATCTAGATATCATTATATGGGGTACAAGATAAAATGCAGATTGATTAATTTAATGTTTACCTTCAATACAGTTTTTACCTTTTATCTGTGATTTTGCCCTGTCTGCTGTATATTTTTTTTCACAAAAGTTATCTTAACTGTGACTTTGGTCACTAGAGCAGAACTTTGAAAATGACAGAGGCAGGTTAACCTGACCTGCTGATCAATTCTAAGCACTCTGCCTGGTACTAACAAACTTTTTTGTGCTTTAACCTGTTGCACATACTTCAGATTCCACTAATGATTCTGCATGGTGACGGTGGTGTTTTGTTATTTAGAAGATAATGTTTGTACTTCATGGTCCAGGAGATACAGACAAGGCTTTCATCTCAGGGCCAAAAGACCAAAAACATCAGTAGCACTCAAACCCCCACATCAGGATCAGGGCTCCATAATGCTAGATTCTGTACAAACACACAAGTAGACAAGTTCCCTACCTAAACCCATAACAGTTTAACTTCCTGCAAGATGTAACAAATGAGAATGACAAGCAATAGGGAAGATGAGGGTAACAATAATGAGATTCACATAGGTGTTGTGCATAATTTTATACGAACAAAATATCTGTGTGTGTGTAATGCATATATATGTGTGTGTTTTTATATATATATATATATATACTTGTAGTATTCTGAATTGTATAGCGAAATGTGTACTTTTACTATATTGCGTGCCAGCTTCTGCATTCAAGTAAATGGTTGCAACAAATGACTGCAGGATCTGGCCTTGTGCCTGTGCTGTGTTTCAGGTTTCTTGTATCATAGCTTTAAAATAAATAAATACAAATATGGCAAGAATAATGGCCAAAATTCTGCCCTAAAAGAGTCTGAAAGGTTGCAGAGACATAAGGGTGAGAATTTGAACCGAAGTATTTACAATTAAACGTGAAAAGAGAAGTAATTTCTAATTCCAGGTATTTGTAAAAATAATAAATACATAAGCCACCTTTGTTTTTGTGCCAATTGCACAAGTGCAAGATGAATAATGACTATGTGTCGCCATTTGTTACCTTTGTTTTTTATTATTGCAAATGCAAACATATATTTTGCATCCTCCTGAGGTTGGCTGTTCTCATGAGATTTCTGCCCTAGTG